GTGTGTGTATATAATTGTGTGTGTATAATAATAATAATAATAATTATGTGTGTGTATATAATAATAATTGTGTGTATAATAATAATAAAAAATATGTGTGTGTATATAATAATAATAATAATAAAAAATGTGTGTGTGTATAAATAATCATAATAAATGTGTGTGTGTGTGTGTATTAATAATAATAATAAATGTGTGTGTATTAATAATAATAAATATGTGTGTGTATATAATAATAATAATTGTGTGTATAATAATAATAATAAATATGTGTAGTTGGCTGTACTGCCCGCGTTCTCCGGGGACATGATAGGTGCGCAAGAGCAGGATTGGCGGCGCTTACATTGCCCTTACTATAGCAAGGTGTAAACAAAATGATTAACCACTAGAGCGCTGGGTGAGCACGCACGGGATAGGCGGCTCGTCATCATGGGGGGAGGCTTAGAAAGTAAGGGAGCAAATGGCCTGAGCTGGAGTGGCCTTTAGTCAAAATGGCGGCATGGAAGAAACGGGGCTGTCAGGACATTTCATGGCAATGACGGACATGCTTGGCCTGCATGGGAGGGGTAAGTCATTTGTCATTTACAATGGCCATGTTAGAAAATTTTTAATGGCGCCTTTTAGAGACTTTACAGGAATTGGGGAACTTCCTCTTTAAAGTGAACATGGGTTTTGCTCATGCGTAGCAAAGCGAGAGGTGCAATTGGTTGCGAGTTCCCCTCCCAACCCGCTACTTATATCTCCCTCCCGCCAATCTGTTCAACCTTCCGGAGCAATATGAAATGACCGTCACTTCCAGGAATGGCGGGGCATGTGGCTTTCTTCCATGGCGCAGCGTTGGATCCTCCAGTTACTAGGCCCCGGTTCTATCACATACCAGTTGGGTAGACCTCAGGTGGGCAACTTCCAGCCCAGAGGGCACATGAGGCCCTTTGGGAACTCTTCTGTGACTATATTTTATCAATGACGTCAGCACAAGGATCACTGAGTGGGAGGTTCCGGTGTTAGTGATCACATGATCAGTCCCAGTGTTGTAACAGGAAACAGTTGGTGTCCCATTGCATGTATAGCATTCTGAGTAATCAGTGTGCAAAATATGAATCTCCCAGTGCAGTATACCTAAAAACACTGCCAGGGATGCCATATGGAATCTGACCTCAGGACGGGCTTTTAGAGGCGGTGAGCCAATTAAAGGAGTAGGGGGAAGAGAATTCATACAGATGCTGCCTGCAAATGGAACACAGTTGTATGACGGCAAGAAAGAGCAATTTCATTATTTTATGGCGGTTATATAACATTGTGGCCGGCTGAAGACTGACATCTGAAGGCCAAGATAGTATAATAACATTAAAGTGACACCAAACGCAGGACTTCAATCTTAAAAATACATTCAAGTACCTTAAAGTGACATTAAACCCTCAGGGGTTTTTTTTGCATGTATCTCCTGCTAGCAAGCAGTGTGATATATGCAAAAAAAAAAAAGATGTCACCAAAAAGGGTTTTACTTACCTGTGTCTCCGCCGCTCGCTCCCGTCCAAAGATCTGAAAATGTCTCGAGCGGCAGCGAAGGTTCATGGGACAGGCGCATGCGCAGTAGAGATCTTCGGCTGGGAGAAGAGGAGAGACACAGGGTAAGCAGGGATCCCAACCTGAAAGAAGCACTTTCAGGGAGGTGTCCTAGTTTAGTTTGTCTTGAATTGTATGGTGATTGTAACGTCTTCTTATATTGTAAAGCGCTGCGCAAACTGTAGGCACTATATAAATAATATGTAATAATACTAGTTTGCACTGAGATTGTAGTCCATCCCGGGAGCGAGCTTGGATCGGTGACTACTTTACAACACACACAGGGACCGTGGGGAACACAAGTGGTCACCCTCCAGAAGGAAGGACAGTGTCGGCACCAATTCAGAGATGATTGGAGGATCTACAGCCGAGTGATACACAAATAAGATACATTGTTGTTCAGAGTTCAGAGACTTGAATGTATTTATAAGATTTAACTCCGGAGTGTCACTTTAAGAGACAACAAGTCAGAAATGATCTTTGGGTCCCTGTGCGCTCTCGTATCGCAGTTTTGTACATATTTTCTTTCTTTCGTATTATTATCACTAACACAACATTTTAAAAATATTTGGGTTTTTTTTTTCAGGTAAATAATACATACCGTAGGCAGCCGAGTGAATAACCGACCCGAAAAGTGATGTGAGCCGAATGCTGTTCGGCTATTCACTTCAGGCTTGTATAGGTTATTTCCGCCGTACATCGGCTTGCTTTGGCTGGCTTCGGGTCGGCCAAACATGCAGAAGGAGTTCGACTCGGCCGATCCAACATCTGAAACGGCTGAGCCGAACCGCCGGCAGGCTACTCGCTGCCGCTCGGTTTATTCTCATAGGGGCCGAACGGCAGTGAGTGAATAGCCGAATGTCGCCGACGAGCGCCATTCAGCTCGGCTATTCTGCTCGGTACCTCCGTGGTACTGAAGAGAATAAAAAAACAGTGGGGGGAAAAAAGTAGAAAACAATTGGGCGGAGCTAGCAGTGACATCTAGCTCCGCCCAACTGTTTCCTATTGGCTGCCAATGAATAACCGGGCAGACCCGGCTGTGATATCCGCTGAGTTCTCATTGTGTAATGACAGTTCAGCGTGCCCAGGTAACCAGGGGACGCTGAACTGTCATTGCAAGTGGCTGGCTCCGCCCAGCTGTCAATTGCGAAGGCTTTCGGGCAGCCAATGGCCGGCCGCTTGGCCCACTTCGGGTTTCACTTTGGCTCAGTGGAGCCGAAGCATATGCCTTTTGGCTCGACTGAGCCGCTCGGCCGGCTTTGGGAGCTGTACGGGGTATAGTGAATAGCCCGTACAGCTGCCCTACTGAACCGAAGGGCTCAGGCAACCGAAGCTAGCCGAAGGATCCGCCGCAGCTACAGCTAGATCCTTCGGCCAGCTTTGTGAATAACCCCCCTAGTGACATTTTGCATTCTCCTGTGAGGAAGCAGGTGGAGCATTGGGGGCAAGTCACAGACTGTATCCCTAACTCCCCAGCTGACCGGACCTGGTGATCGAGGATTTGCAGCCCCGCGAGGGTGAGCGCGCGTCCTTCAGGTAAAGCAGAGTACGTTGGCGACTTCTCACGGCCAGTATGACATCGGCCTCCGGAGTTACTATTTCTATATTTAGCCCAAAATAAACTTGTTAATTACAGAATGCAATGACTCCGGACGAGTCCCACACCCACACACAGTGACTCGGAGAGCGCGGTCCTCCCTTATCTGATGGCGGCGTCCGAGGTCTCAGTGGGAGTCAGCCTGTTTGAATGGAGATCATTACTGCTGTGCTCTCTCTGGAGCTAACTTGTAGTGCTCGGGGAATCCTTTGTCATGTGTGAACTCTTTATTTGTAATACAAAATTGTATATACTGTACATCCTAAACAAGCAGTAATAAAACAACAGTTTATCCCCAAATCAATAGAATTTTTGGGGGGCAAATTGATGTTCATGCATTGTGGTAATGCACGTAAAACCGCGCATTACCACAACGTGCGGTAACACGCAAACTTCAGTATGTATGATGTGGTCCTAGCCTGCACGTTGAACATCCAAATAATGTTACAGGTTGAACATTCACATCATGTCCTAATATTCAGCAGCTCCCTGTGAAATAATATATGGAATACTTACAGTTCTGGTGGGCAGCAAGTCTAACCTGTGAAGTCTTGTAGACATGCTGCTGCAATCCAACACTTATGTGTGTATCATGTAGCACGTCCCCTGCCAGGTTCCGTGGTTCCTCCCATCAGCTGAGACGTCAGTATTGCATAACAGCTGGTGGGAGGAACCACAATGCCTGGGGGGGAGGAGGGAGGGACTCACACACACTCTCAAAAGTGTTGCATAGTAGCAACGTTCATATCTTTGTAATATGTATGATAGTAAATCAAGTCCATTGCGTGTGTGTGTAGGTGTGTGTTTATGTATGTGTGTGTTTTTTGTGTGTATGCGTGTGTTTATGCATGTGTGTGTTTTATGTGTGTATGCGTGTGTTTATGTGTGTGTTTATGTGCGTGTGTGTATGTTTGTGTTTATGTATGTGTGTGTGTTTATGTGCGTGTGCATTTCTGTGTTTATTTGTGTGTGTATGTATGTGTGTGTGTGCATGACATGATATTTAATGTGACCTTCTGTGTATTTTTTATCTAAACCTAAGAACATGGTAAGAACCGTGTAACATATTGCAGCTTCCTCCCTAGATATGGCGGCTACATTCGTTTTCTTTAGGAGTTTTTACCTTTATTTTTACCCAGTGATCCCGGCAGTAATACACTTCCTGTCCCAGGGTGACAACACTCAGTGTACTGCATCTATGGAGGAGGAGCAACGTTGTCACTCTAGAACAGGATCTGCTCAGGATTTCTCCAACTCCATCAGCTCTAGTACACAATTTGTTCAACAGTACCAGGCCCCAATGAAGGGGAATTCTTGAAACCCCCCCACAATACATGATTATTACATGTTGCAATAGGATGTGATGCATTACTGCGCTGCAAAAAAATGTAGCGTGCCCTATTTGATTTTTTTCATCACGCACCAATGCTTATGTATGAAAAGCATGCTGATTAAAAATGTACAGTTGCCCATGGCAACCAGGTTGCGTTCAGAACTAAAATTGACAAATAAAAGCTGACTGGTTGCTATGGGTGACAAGAGACGTTTCCCTACAAATCCCACATTCTGTTTTGACACACGTGACAGAAACAGCCGTCCGTCACTCAACTCACAATAGGTGGGATCCCAAGCCGCCAGCCCCGCCCACAGCCGCCGACCTACCAATTACGAGCAAGGAAGCTCTATCTACTCAAAACCGGTTGGCTGACTCCGCGCCGTGTGCTAGACGATTGGCCCCGAGCTCGCAGAGTCACCTGCTGCAAGCTTGGGGGCGTGCCATCCACCTGTCATCCGGCGTGGGAGTGGCTAGAGCGAAAAGCAATAGAGGGGGCGTGTGTCAGGGTTCTATTCACAGAGGAGATTTACGCTGCTACGGCGACGTAGCTCCCATTCATTCTGTGGGAACTTGCGCCGGAGCGGGGAAGAATCCGCAAGTGCTGCCTGTTCCTGTCTGCTCCTCCCTCCTTCCCTGTTCCCAGGTGAGGTCAGCCGGATCAGGAGGAAAGAAACGGGTGACCGGGAAGAGATGGCTGGCAAGGAGAACGAGCTGTGCGAGAGCCTTATTATCTGGGTGAGAGCCGGGAGGAGGGGCTATGACGTCATACGTGGGAGATGCCATTTCTCCTACTACTCTCTATATATCACCAAGTTGTGGTCTGACTGGTGTGTGACTACTAATCCCAGCATGCCCTCTCATCGCAATAACTCAAAAAATATTATTTAACCCATGTTAACAAAAGGGTTAGGTAATAATAATAATATTGTTATTATTATCAAGTTTATGCATGTAAGAAAAAAAAGGTAAATGTTAAGACAATTTTTATTTGTATTTTTATCATGTGTGTAATATTTTTACTCGGCCATGGAAACCCATTCCATGAAGCTCTCTACGCACTGTTGTTGTGCCAATCTGAAGGCCGCATGGAGTTTGGAGGTCTGTAGCTATTGACTCTGCACACAGTCGGCGACTTCTGCACGCTGTGCGCTTCAGCATGCGCTGACCCCGCTCTGTCATGTGACGTGGCCTACCACTTTGTGGCTGAGTTGCTGTTGTTCCCAGTTGCTTCCACTTTGTTATAATCCCAGTAACAGGTGGCCGCGGAATATTTAGTAGCCAGGAAATGTCACGGAACACCTGAATCCAATGCTTTGGAGGGGGAGGGGCCCAATACTTTTGGCAATATAGTGTATATATATATTTTAATACATAGTAACAACGTGGTGGCCGGATGAGTCCTACGACGTTTCCCAAAATGGGTCGTTTTATCTTTTGCTTCATGTTTTTCAATAAATGTTTTTTTTTAAAGTTGACAACATCAGATGAAAATATGTCAGCAGCATTAACACTGTTGCAGTGATTGGATGCGGCGCTCCTCCCCCATCACCCCCTGTGTGTGAGGCTGGACTTTATTTTTGTCTTTGTAAACTTCCAGAATCTGGATTTGGATACGTTTTGTGTTTTTGCAAAACATGCAAATTCATTTTTTAAATTTTTTTTTCCTCGCACGTCTTTATTTTCTTTCCGCTGTCAGCGCGCTCTCTGCTCACTTTAGTCACGCCGGGTTTAAGTTCTGAGGGTGAAGTTTATTTTTCCCACAATGCATTTGTCAGAGGCGTCGCACGCACATTTTATGAGCATCCTGTTGTGTTTACAATGTATTTAGTGTATTTCCATAGAGTTCTGAGGGTTGTGATTTAATGCTCAGCGCAGAGGAATGAATGTAGCCACGCTTCACAGATTGAAAAGTAGACTTGTCCCCCCCCCTCCCCGCGCAGTGCTTTGGCTTATTAGAAATAATAATAATAATAACATGCATATAATGTGCAGGGTGACTGGTCTTGTCTCCACCCCCTCCTGTAATAAAGACCGCTCACTGCTTTCTCTCTCCTTGTGCAGGGTGACCGGTCTTGTCCCCGCCCCCTCATGTAATAAAGACCGCTCACTGCTTTCTCTCTCCTTGTGCAGGGTGACCGGTCTTGTCTCTGCCCCCTCCTGTAATAAAGACCAGTCACTGCTGCTCTTTCCATGTGGAGGGTAACTGGTCTTGTCTCCGCCCCTTCTTGTAATATAGACAGCTCACTGCTGCACTCTCTTTCCTTGTGCAGGGTGACTGGTCCTGTCTCCGCCCCCTCCTGTAATAACAATCGGTCACTGCTGTTCTCTCTCCCTGTGCAGGGTGACTGGTCCTTCTCCGCCCCTGTTGTAGTTTCCTGTAGTGGGAGGAGCCTGCTGGGTCCCACAGCTCTGCTCTGTGCACAGGCCATGTACAGCACAGTGATGATGTCACTGCTACTTTTACAAGGTTAGACTGCGCACTACCGGTCAAAAGTTTTAGGGCTCCTCCATTTTTCCAGTTTAGTGCAGTTCGTGTAATCTGAAATTAAAGGGCACAAAAAACTTTTCATTGAATCACATTCCTCAATAGTCACAATTAAATACAAAATCTGGCCTCCCCGCCTCCCTTCCACAGCCAGTTGTGTTTCTCTCCTTCCGCCACTAGATGGCGCTGTATATAAAACAAATTATGGTCTGCAGCAGCAGTAGAAGATTTGTAAAAAAGGGATGCCGAGGGTGCCATAAATTGCATCATTCCAATTTTTCTCCTTTCCGTGAGACCTTTACACCGACAACTATTTATTGCACTTGCTGGGAATGCCGACAGCACTTGTCACGCTTTCACTATGTACATGATCTGTGTACTACATTATGGGGATATTTACTACATAGTCATGCAAATGTCTTAAAATCTGACCTCCGTCCTCCCCTTCAGTCTCATATCTGACCTCCATCCTCCCCTTCAGTCTTCTATCTGACCTCCATCCTCCCCTTCAGTCTCATATCTGACCTCCGTCCTCCCCTTCAGTCTTCTATCTTACCTCCGTCCTTCCCTTCAGTCTTCTATCTGACCTCCGACCTTCCCTTCAGTCTTCTATCTGACCTCCGACCTTCCCTTCAGTCTTCTATCTGACCTCCGACCTTCCCTTCAGTCTTCTATCTGACCTCCGACCTTCCCTTCAGTCTTCTATCTGACCTCCGACCTTCCCTTCAGTCTTCTATCTGACCTCCGACCTTCCCTTCAGTCTTCTATCTGACCTCCGACCTTCCCTTCAGTCTTCTATCTGACCTCCGACCTTCCCTTCAGTCTTCTATCTGACCTCCGTCCTCCCCTTCAGTCTTGCACAGTTGTACCGGGTCCTCTCCTCTTCCTCTGATGTCACTGCACACTGGGAGCTTCTCACAATGTGCATTAGAAGCTGCAGCAAGTCAGACGGAGTCCATCTCATTTCCTGGCCTAGCATCATCTAGCACTTTCCTCCCCAGCTTGACCGTCCCTGGCCCCGCCCCTTTCATTCATTGGATTTCAGTTCTTTCAATCATGGCGGCTGAGCATGTGGGTGTCGCCTGTATGCAAATACAGCCTAGGAACACCCACTGCTCCAGACTGACACCCACCTTTAAAGGCGTTGGGACATTTGCATAACTCTTCCAAAGAGCCGGCCCACTACTTGCATCAGGACTGAGGGCTCTTGAGAGGAGTAGTGAGGCAGGGCGCTGTGATGTGTTCAGGAAGCTATGTACGGCACCCTGCCGCCCCCCACCAGCCATGCATTGCATATAGAAGCACAGAGACTCATTGATGACATCACTAGTTCTGAAATAAGGGCTGTAGTGAGAACAGAACGGTGTTATTATTTCATGTTGATGAGTGTGTGTGTGTGGGGGGGGGGCAGGAAAGCAAAAAGCTTCAACGTGAACTGGATGCTCATCCACGACTCATTAATTTCCAGCTCCGTCTGATGTCTGGTGGAATTTGCACCGCAGCACTTTTTTGGGGCCAGCGGATTCAATCTGAAGAAACTGCAGCTCGTGATTTTTATAGCCGTTGAAGAGAAGACACGGCATGTCCTGCGATCCGTCACCGATTGCCTCTCGCCCCTCCCCCCGGGGGACAGATCAATACGGTCCCTTCACTGCGCAGCTCTCTCCTTCAGGGACCTTTGTGTGCGGCAGATGATCCAACAATGACCTCTGTGTCTCCTCTCTCGGCTGACAGTCAGCGGTGCCACCAAAGCGTCATCCGGATGGTTCCGCTGCAGCGCGGCGCTCGTCCTCATCGTCAGCCCAGAAGAATTAATTAGCGCCTAATGAGATTTCGTGCAGAAGTCCAGCGCAGCGGTCGCGTCTCATCCAGAAGTCGTCGTGCCGCCGGAATCTTCATTTTCCCTCTTCGTATAGCTGGTTGATGGCGATGGCGGTTTTCTGCGTCGCCGCCGATAAAAAAACAGCGACGCGGCGAGGAACGGCTTGGAAGAATGGTGGGTTTTTTTGGTATCCCGCTGGTCATGTGACACTCTTATTAATCCAATCATACCGCGTATTACGGTAACATCCTAATCACGGCGGGTCTGTGACAACCCTCCGCGGGTCACCACACAGCGCAAGTGAACCGTCTTACCTGCCGAAAGATTTGTGATTCGGTTCGGTTAGTCTTGTGATCAAAGAAGCCCTGCCAAGCAGCCCAGCAGGGTCTGTGACCTCCTGTTCTGTGGTCAGTGACCCCGCCCCCACACTGCTGATTGGACAACAAGGTGGAAAAAGTATACTGATGGGAGAACCATTGTGCTCTCACCTCCTGTAAGACATGTTCACTGTGTTAGACCGCTGGAGACAACATAGCCTGGATTGGTTCATAGCCTCGTCTTTCCCAGTCCGTACTTTGGGAAAGGCACGACTTGGTCCTTGACCCTCCCACAGAGTGCTGATTGGATAACGAGATGAAAGAAGCACACTGATAGCATAATCATTGTGCTCTCCCTCCTGTAAGACATGTTTACTGTGTTAGACCGGTGAAGACCACATAGCCCTGATTGGTTCAGAGTGCTGCCTTTCCCATTCCGTGTGCTGGGAAAGGTACGACTCAGTGTGGTTTGGTCAGTGACCCGCCCCCAGACTGCTGATTGGACAACGAGATGGAAGACGTACACTGATAGGATAATCATTGTGCTCTCCCTCCTGTAAGACATGTTTACTGTGTTAGACCGGTGAAGACCACATAGCCCTGATTGGTTCAGAGTGCCGCCTTTCCCACTCTGTGTGCTGGGAAAGGTACGAATCAGTACGGTTTGGTCAGTGGCCCGCCCCAAGACTCCTGATTGGACAACGAGGTGAAAGAAGCACACAGATAGGATAATCATTTGTGCTTTCACCTCCTGTAAGTCATGTTGACTGTGTTAGACTGCTGAAGACAACCATTGCAGGGCAGAAGAGGAGCCGGCACAACTGTACAAAACTGTAGGGAAGGCCGGAGTTCAGCTTTAAATATATCTCTCTATACATTGTGAGGGGAATTCATCACAAACTGGAGCAGACAAAATCTGGAGCAGATTTGCACTGCAACCAATCAGCTTCTCTGTCTCATTTTCAGATCTTGCCTGAGCATCCTGAAGAGAGGTGCTGATTGGTTGCCATGGGCAACTGCTCCAGATTCTGTCTGCTCCAGCTTTGATTAATCCCCCCCCCCCGCGTGTCTTCCTGTGCAGTGGATGGAATGTGATGTATAGCGTATGCGG